AATAATCATATACTTTTGCTTTTTTTAGGTACATACTCTTTGAAAGATCACCAAATACACCTGCAAGAGTGCACATAATGTCCACGTTTTTTTTTCTACGTGATAAATAACAGGACCCTTTTTTGATCAAAATGCATGGGCTGTAGCCCACCAAAGTCGCAAAAATGACCCTTTTTTGATCAAAATGCATGTGCTATAGCCCAACAAAATTGCACCAAATGACAATCTTTTGATCAAAATGCATGGACATGCGCAATAGCCCACCAAAATCGCTCAAAATGATCCTTTTTGATCAAAATGCATGGGTTATAGCCCACTAAAATCGCAAAAAATGACCCTTTTTCATCAAAATGCATTTGCTTTGCGAAAATCGTGGAATATAATCTTATATTTGTACTTGCGTTAGCGCATCAAAATCATGAAAAATTAACTTATTTTGTTATTAGGTCAAAACATGCATGTTTGCTTAAAATGGGTAGTTCTTGGTCGAGAGTTTCATTGTGTACTAAGAAATGGAACAACGTTAATTGCCTTTATAATTTTTATTGATGATTATGCTTTTTCAACTACTGTTTGATACATCTTAGTCGCGTTCAGGTGAGCACATCTCCGTTCTGCATCTTGCTGTATTCTGAAATCCAAGATGCGTAGACAATTACTATGGGTTATACCCCTGTTTTTGGAGGTTTTGCTAAGTGTTGAGCTTTGTGTTCATCTTACAGTATGTACACAACACACATCCGAGAACATTTTTGTGACTTTTTTCACATATATATAGGAAAGATCCCGTGGGTGGACTCCCTAATAAAGAAGGGCGGGGGTCTTCGTCGTCCCTTTTAGGGTTTAAAATCAGTGTTTTGGTCCCGCTTAGGGTGATAATGACGAGTGAGTTTTGTGATCCCTTTAAGGGATACGACGACCCTAAGCCGTCATTATAAGATCAACAACGACTACAACTGATAATTAGATGATTGATCTCAATACGAGCCGACGACGTTTGATTTGTGCAAAAACACAAATAAAATCGGGAAACCGAAACAAAATGACCTGTTATCGATTTGGTCCCTCTTGGGGTGAATTTTCAGCACTGCCACGCCCATCATCTTACAATACAGGTCCCTTTTAGGGGTGTTTTTCAGAATTTCCGACAAGGACCCTCGGGAAGTTCCCTTCCTCCCCTATCATACGGAGGGGTTAGGGAGTGACATATATTTTGTCCCATCTTGTAGGTTTCAGAAAACTTATTGAAAGTAGACATTCTAGCTAGCTAGCTGTATATGGTATGGAAGTCTCCAAGTAAAATGCCCGTCTAAACCTACCTTGAAAGTTGACTTTTCCATCGCCATCATTGTCGATGTCCTGGATCATTCCCTGTATCTCGTCCTGTGGTAAGCTCCAGCCTTGTTCTTTGTAATACTGCGACCACTCACCAACAGTGATGAACCCATCCCCATTAACGTCAATCTTTTTGAATGTCGAAGCAATTTGCTTTTGTTGCTCGCGCTGATGCTGCTTGGCAAGTTTGAGTATAAATGAACGGAGCTCCGAAAACGTAATCTTCTTATTTCCTAAAAAACAATTCGAAATTCTTGTTAAGGAACACTATTTACATCTTTCGAATTCGCGAAACTCAAATCGTACGCGTAAACAGTCCTACGATTGTTGCGCCGATTGTTGTACAAGTTCTTTCCAAATTGATAAAGAAAGTGCCATATTGAAAGCTCTCATGCAATTTTTCTGCATTCCGGTAAAGGAATGGTATATTTTGTACCTTTTTCTAAGAAAATCGCCGCGAAGTTGCAGCTAAATTTCAAGGATGTTTGTTGAAACTCAAGCGACGATCGCCGTGGCAATCGAAGGGCTGTTTACACATGCGATTTGAGGTGAGCTAAATAGCTAAATGGCGATTGTCGCACGACACTAATAAATTGTGCTGTAAGCATAGCAAATGTAAACGGTGCTCTAGAAGTGGCCATTGTAGGATCTGCGTACAACTTACCGTCTGTATCGATAGCATTAAATGACTTTTGAGCATCTGATGAAGTTCCACCAATAGTTTTTTGAAAATACACGGAGTATTCTTGAGTTGAGACAGATCCATCACCATTTGCGTCCATTTCGCTATACATTGATTGTATTTCGTTGTCAATTTTTCGAGAAACCTAAAAAGGTAATAGTAAAATCGTAACGTTAAGAGTGAAACCAGTTACATCAGTTAATCTGAAGTAAACTTTGACTCATTAAAGTATGAATAGCCAGAGCAGCGCAGATGGGCTGGAAATAACAAGTATAGATCATGGCCATCTCGAGAAAACCGAAGGAGTGGCAAAAGAGTTAAGAAAAGCTGTCCTCTTTGCAGGTCGATACCAAAACAATTAATAGATTCATCTGTTTCGTGGACTAATTGTTAATTAAATGTTTTCGCTAGATTCTAATGATTTCACTTCTCTCCTCAATTTAATCTCCATTGATAATTTCCGATACAATCACATCTCAGTTAATCCTCCTGGGAACGTTTGATAATATGAACACTATAGATACAGCTTCATATCATTTTTTGGAAGAAAAAAACAACAATAAAGAATAAAAAAACGTCTTTCGAATTGAAAAGAGACCATCTACAGCAGCGTCATTTGCACTAAGAATAGTAATTAATTAGTGAGATTATTAAGATGATCAAGAGAGTTCATTAAGGATAAGTCAACCTCGTGTCACTAATTTTCTGTGTAGGGTAGTAGATTGCACAAAGGATGGGTTAAAATATTTACATCATAGTAAGCTTTTCCCATTAATGATGTATTATTGCCTGTAGAAAGAGCTATTAATGGCCTAGTTAAGACGTCAATCTTTGTCGCGTCTAATCTTAATGCTGTTGTGTAAAAAGATAAATTGAACAACGTAAGAAAGTAGGTGAAACAACTTAATGAAGTTTCGGACGTTAATCCTTCCTTTTACTCCGACGAAGGATTAACGTCCGAAACGTCAGTAAGTTATTCCACCTATTTTTTACGGTGTTAAATTTATCTTTTTAAACAACTGTTTCTTTAGAAACACCCACGCAGCTCACACTAGTTTACCGCTAGTTTCAACCATTAATCTTGTTGCTATCTTTCAGGTCATGCGCAGTTCGCATCTGACTTCACTGCAGACTTTATTTTTGGATTTTGTTCAGTTGTTTGAACTCAATATAATCTGGTAATCAGCAAAATTTATCTCATTTAGACTTAAAACTCTAGTGAACTACATGGAAGCAATTGGCTTGGACGTTTTTATTAAAAGACAGGGATCTGTATCTAAGACATTTGGCACCTTTACAGATAACATTTTCGGAAGCTGTGGGGTGAATTAACATTTAGTAACGCGGTTTTCAAGATGTCCCAAATTCGTGTAAAACGCTGCAATGGCCACACCCTCGAACACTAGATCACAATCACTTCATGTAATTCAATCAGTAAGATATATTGAACCAACCTGAAATCCACCACGTTTCATCATCTTTCCCAACATCAACTTCGCTGCTCTGGTTTGAACATCACCAATCGCTGACTCCTGCGACTTGACCGTCCGATGGATTCCTACAGCGTGGTGCAACAAGGCAAAAGCGAGCAGATACACAATAGAAGCTGAGACTGCCATAGTTTAACAAGGAAGTACTAACACAGATTTTTATGAATGTGTGGGGGGAATGAACAAAACAGCGAATTATATTTAAATCGAGTGAGTACGTGTACCAGTCGAAATTTTAAATCACACTCGACCCAATCAGCTTAAAGAGCAACTCATTCATTTCATCTCTATTGGCGTAGTCACGTGCAGACGCTTCAAGATAACACCTCAATGTAGCCGATCCCTRTTTGTGCGGGAGAAATTGAACAAAGGAAGTTAAAATAATGAAACTATGACATGGACCAGTTATAATTAAGGAAGATTTCACGTTATAATGCCTCGTCTAATAAGACGCCGACGATAAACCCTTGGATAGGCGCAGGACAGTTTCAGGAGTTTCTTCTGAGATGCAGGATAACAATTAAAGTGGCGTGTTGCGTTCCAAGAAAATTGTTACAAAAAGGACTGTAAGGGAAAATATACAAAGGTAGTAGTTCCCCCCAAAGAATGCGCACCTTTTGCAGCGACACACTCTTCTAGATTCCAAAATAGGAAATAAATGATTGAAACCCACAACAATTCATAATACAAACATTGAAAAAGGCGGATGAAATACGTTCAGAATAGACATAACGTTTAGTTCTGGTATTGGCACCATGTGGTGCCAAATGATGCCATATGGTGCCAAATGCCCTATTACTGAAGCAGACTGAACAGATTTTGTATAGCTTTTATTTCAACGTGTTCCAACAATATTCAGATTCATTAGCTGTTACAGAATCTTGGAGTTGAAAAGCAGTGCCCCTAAAGCCCAACTCAAATCAAAATTGCTCATCTTTTTCCCAATATGCAGAATGAACTTTTTCAAATCGATATGGTAACCATCTTTGAACATCTCATAAAGATAATTCGCTCTAAAACAGAGACCCTGAACTTGGTATAAACTCGTGTCTAAAGAAGCTGAAGGGAGACTGCAAAGATCATGGGAAAGTTGTTTAAACTTGGAAAAGCATGCCCTCTGACCATGAGATTGGATAACCCCAATATCCTTCATGACATAGTAAAAAGCATTAATACCGAAAAAATTCCCTTCAAGCTTAGGCTGATTTACAAAAGGACAATTCTGTGCATTTCCGTTGCAAAAGAACATCWTTTTTAAAAGATTTTGGCACTTAATCTCATTGTAGCCACCKWTGATTGTTATTTGACTGTTGTTATTGGTKATCGTTTTGGTAAAACCTTTGTTRTGACATGGGCTTACTACGGTGGAACCTATGRAACTGCTAGCAAGATGCTTGTAGTATGAATCAGTGGCCTCGCTTAACCCATATCCGAGATAGCTGTGCACGTAGAGGGGGTAATCTTTTCCAGCAAGGTTGACAGTAGCCGTTGGGGTTCCTTGTCCCTTGTTAGTAACCTGAAA